AAAAAAAAAATCCAGAACCCAAAATTAATTTCCCACCTAAAAGGTAGGAAAATCCTTTCCTCACACGCAAGCAAAATGGCGTATAGAGGGAAAAGATTTGTCAAATTTTCCATGCCGAATTTACCACATCAAACACTACTAAACATGGAAAGTTGGAAAATGTTTTCTTTTTCCATGCTATCGAACATGGCTTAAATTTCAACCACACATTCTCCAAAAAATACTATTCACTACTCCATTTTTCTCCCAAAAATGGGAGACAATCACACCCTAAAAATGCTCTCTATTTGGTCTCTTCATTTTGCTTTTCTCAACAAAATATTTTTCTTTCTTATATTTTATTTATATCAATAATCAATATATTCAGATGTGTAGCACTGAAATAAACTTATTAAGCCCATATTTGACGAGAATGAAAAATTAGATTTAAGTAAATTTTGATAAAATCAGCGAAATATATGATTGAAAAATTGTTGGACTCATAAAATATGTAATTAAAATTAATTATTAAATTCGACTTAAATTAATCGGTACCAAACAGAGGCTAAATGTAGTCATTGTAAAGCAATAATAGATAGTGACTTTGGATTTCCAAACTTGGAATAATTGTAATCATTTTCTTTATATATACTATTTAGGTCCTGTTTGGGAGGGATTTAGATTTTTTTTACAGTAAATCAATTCTCATTTTCAACCACACATTCTTCAATAAAATAATATTTTCCATCANCACACATTTTTCAATAAAATAATATTTTTGATCACATCAATAATTTTTTCTTCTTTTTTAACCACACATTTCCCATCATGTCACTATTCAAAATCAATTTTTCCCCCAAAAATCCATCCCAAAAAAACTCTTAATTGGATCAATTTACGAGCAATGAAAATGGAATATTTTAAATATATTTAATTATAGAGGATGGATTTGACTCTTCAAACTGGAGAGTCAAACCAATTTTCTATTTTAAAAATGTTAATTTGGATAGTCTATTAGAATGTAATTTTAAAGTAGAAAATATTTCACTTTTAAATAGCCTATCAGAGACATTCTAATCTTTAAAATATATAGATTCTAAGTTTTTTTCTTAATTTTAAACCACATAATTTTTTTTAAAAAATCACTATTACAAAACTCTTTTTTTTTTTTTTTTTTTCTAAATTAAAAATGAGGCTCAAACAAAACTTTTAGAGAGCATGTGAAAGAGGTTCTTGATTTTTTAAAAACAAATATAGAGTGAACTTATCACTTCAATCTCTAGTTTTACTTAATAATGGTTGAACTGATAAATTACATATTTCAACACTCCACTGCTCGGAGCATTCAATTTTTTTTTTTTATTGGTCATTAATATTTAAAATATACATTAATTAGAAATTATTAAAAACAGCAAAAGGTTTTCGAAAAAAAAAGGTAAAACAAAGAGTTAAAAATAAAGAATTTATTGGAAAATATAAAAAACATTTAAAAATACTATTTGATATGCACAAGACGTTCTTTCAACACTAAAATGTTGCTGGTAAATCAAACTAAGCCACTGTTTGTCTTCTATTAAATAAAAAATAATTTTTTCTCAAGCTTATTTTTAAAAAATTGAGAATACGATTGCAATTAGTTCTTTATTTTTCTTTTTATCTTATTACACAAGTTTGAAGTTAGGATATTTTCGTAAGATGATACATTCGTCACTTCACAACTTTTAATTGAGAGAATTGATAAAAATGACATTTTGCGCAATAAAAAGTGAAAATAATGAAAAAAAATGAAAGCTAGTATTTTTTTTTTTAAATAATAATAGTGAAAAGTAAAGACATTATATGCTAATTGTCCAATTTTTATTCTCGATCTTTCAGTAATTAACACATCGTATCTGTCAATGATCGTCTGAAATGTGCATTAGGTAGAGCATATTATTAGCCTCTCATATTTTAAAAATAAATATAAAAGTGCGACAATTTATTTTTTTCATAATTTGAAAGCATGTAAAAGTGTAAATGAATTATTTCAATAGAAACTAGGAGATATGTTAATTAATGAAAGCTTCAAGATAAAAATTCGATAAAAAAAATTAAAAAAACGATTCAAATTTATTTAGAAAAATGTAGTCATGGTTAAGCTCTTGCCTGTTTCGGCTAAAAATCTTGATTAAAATTTTAAAATAATAATAGTTAATTTTAATTACATAATTTATGAGATATTTAATTAATGTATTATTAAAATTTTGATTTTTATCCTAACGATATGATCTTGCCCAAACCATATTGTAGGGGGGGTGTTCGATTGTGATGTTTAAAAATTTCTATACGCTTTTTTTAAGTGGATGACTTTTGTGGATTTTATGAACTTTTTAAGTAACTTATATGAATTTGTTAAGAATTAATAAAAGTTTTCAATAGATTTATGCGGACTTTGATTAAAGATTTGAATAACTTTTCATCTTACAAATTCATTGTATACTTGAAAAAATACAAATTTCTTTACTACCTAATTAACATTTTTCAAGAACCATAGCGCGCACATTTTTTTTGGGTAAAGTCACCAATCACAACCCAGTCATTCAATTTTGGTGCAAAAAACATAATAAAAACTTTTACATCAATTTTTAAGAACATAACCCAAAAAATTTCACAAAATTAATATAAATTCTAAGGCCACGTTTGATAGTACCCAAATTCCATGGAATTTGAAATTGATTTTCCATTTTTCACATTTTTGCTTGTTTGATAGGCAAAATTTTATTGACAAATGGTTTTCCACCCAACCCCTTTTTTGGTCATTTTTCTTGATTTTTGAGGAAAACCAATTCCCACAAATTTGGTGGGATTTGGTTTTCTAGGCTACCATTTTTTTTTTTTTTGCAATATAAACAAATTATATCCCAAATTGTAACAAATTACGTCTATTTAATGAACAATTTTCATGTAAAACAAAACTAAACGAATACCAAAAGATTCAAAATTTCAATATTTTCAACATGAAAAATTATATTAATTAAACACAATTAATTGACAATTCTCGAGAAAACAATTATAGGCAATTCAATTCCCTAAAATTCATTTTCTTTCTATCAAAATTTCACTCTTACAATCAAACAGACCCCAAGAACACATCTTATTCTTAGCCAAAAAAAAAAAAGAAGAAGAGGAGGAAGAATAAATCAATTATATGAAATTCAACATTTTGAAACGATTGCATATAATTTAAATTCAAAAATAATTACGTAGTTTATGATTACAGCAAATAAATTGAACAGCTATGAGAAAATCGAAACAAAAATATATTCTTTATTTTTTTGGACTCTCAAATTTTTACAAATCTCAAAGTATATGAGTGATTTTCTTTGAGATCTGCTATTTATATTTTTACCAAACAGTCTCAAAAGTCTAATGAGTCGAGAATTTCTCCAAAAATCGCGATCTATTTCAATACCTCACGAATTATATACACTTCTAAAATGTTTTAATTAAGAGGATGTTTGATATAAATTAAAATTAAATTTTTAGTAGATTGTGATGGAAATATTTGAAATATATGGTTGAAAAGATGTGGGACCCATAAAAGATGTGGTTAATGTTAATTGTTTAACTTCGACTTAGATTAAAATCAGA